AGACAGGCAGTTGGGGGGACGTTAAAGTAACAAAGTACATTTACTTCATTACTTCATTAGCTGCTATTTTCTTGTTACTTTTAAACGCCGTTTCCACACGGCAGACAGAAGCCGTTGAACTGAATGTGGACGCCACAGTTTTCCACAAATAGCAGAAACTCAGAGCAGATATTATTTATAGTTTATACTTTTAATTAGGGTTTTAGTTGTTGCCAAGTTGTTCAGTGGGATGAGTTTTAGGTTTGGTTTTGGTAATAGATTAAACATTTAACTAAAAACAATCCTGTTTTATTTTTGTTTCGTTTATAAACAGGAATTAATAATTAAAATAGAAATCCTTCAGTTTTTGTGGCATTTTGATGCTGAAGTTTTTTCCAGGTGGTGCAGAATTTATAGCAGATTTGCTCAAAGCATCAATCAGGTTTCTGAAGGTTAGTTTAAAGTTAAACTGAAAATACCACAGAAATTTAATGAAATAAAAAGTTTTTACTGGTATTTTTGAATACTTAACCACTCTTAAATTCATGCACTTTTGAACACTTTAGTACTTTCAAAATTCAGTACTTCGATACTTTAACTTGAGCAGACGTTTGTCAGAGTAACTTGAGTTATATTGACTATGAGTATAAATACTCAGGTACTACTTGTGATTACTTCCTCCAGCGCTGCCAGGAACAGACTCACTATAACCAACTGAATGAGAAGTTCAGTTCTGATAAAGGAAATCTTTACCTTTCTGTGAAACAGCTTCATCGTTTTTCCCCATAGGTCTACTGTTAGTACCTCGCTCTTTGTGCCGCCTTGTTTTCTCCTGTACTTAGATGTGCAAAAACAACTGGGAAAAAAACAGAAAAAAGAAAAATTTTCATATATACCAAGCTTATAAAGTAAAATGCATTTTCCTCTTTCAACACATTAGGACCAGTGAGTTCTAGCAAAAAGCAAAGTTGAATATTTGGACTGATGTGGTCTGCAGGTCAAGCTGTAGAAATTAACCATCGATTTCTCCAAATGTTCTGTATTCAAACTGCAGAGAAACTTATTCACATAGACGACAAAGTAGAGTTTTGAACACACAGGATTG